TCTGAGACAAGTTAGCTTTCCTTACCTCACACTGCTCCTGCAGTTTTCTAATTTCTGTCCACAGTTGAGCCCGTTCCCTAAGGATGGTATCGACTCTCTCTTCCATTTGAGATACTCTGCATTCCATTATGGTGATAGTCAATTCACTGGTCTGCTTAAGGTACTTTAACTCCTCCTGCAGGTCCTCAAGCTTCCTTCTCTAAACAGACAAAAGAGCACTTCATGTTATGAACTACATTATTACCTCAATGGTAGTTTGAGTTTTGCAAGGTGTAGAATGCTTGTTTGGAAAGACTCTCCACTTTAAAGTCAACTTTACTTGCATGTGGTTCAACTTGGTATAACAAACGAGGTTCAGGCACAGAGTCATGGTGATAACATTCATTGTAGCTGGTGTTAAGGAAATGGTTAGTTAGTTAGTTATTAGAGAGGGTGGGTTTCCCCATGCACTTAGACCTGTAATGGTCTATTGTGCTTCCCTCTATGATTTCTTCCAGCCTCTATATCCTACCGGTATTCGTGCTTACCATCAGTCCCGCCCAGCCAGCGAGACCGGCTCTATTGGCTGAGAAGTATCTATAATGCTTCCCCCATCTACCAGTGGTATTAGTGACTGAGGACAATCAAGTCAGGAACGTTAACTACCACATCTGGCTGGCAGGAAATACAATCACTGACATATGAGTGACATTAGTTTCAATTTGGTTGTGATTTGTTTACTTTATAGGAGTGTTTGCTACTCTACAGAATGTCCCTTAGTCACTACATGCATGAAGCAGATGGAGAAATGCTGAACAGATTCTCATGAAATATATTTGGGAGTTTTACTGAATTTTGTCAACACATACAATTTTTTTATTAAAATCGGGAAAACATAATATACCATTAACAAAAATATCCAAATTTGACCTAACAAATATCTCCGAAATTACTCAGCCCCTTACATTTATATGTGAGTCTGAACATCATTGGAGAGCGACAGTCTTGCTTTTATGTTTTTTTTTCTTGGAGTGTACTGATTTAAGCACATTTATAACATTAAGATTAAACAGCAGGGACGAATAAGCCAAACACAAGAATTGAAATTAGCAAAGCCAAAAATGCAAGTAAACAAGAATGAAACAAACCCCCATAAAATAATTAATTCCGTCCCACTATTTACCTTTCCAACATCGAAATCCTCCAGCGCTTTCAAACCAAGACTCTCCTATTAATTATGATAGCACCTTGGTACATAAACAATCATAGGATCCATGACGTTCTGCAAATGAACACAGTATTTTGTGAAATATAAAAGTGGAAAAAGCCACTTTATTGGGGCTCGAACCCGTGACTTTCCGGCTGATTGTGTACCGCCTCAACCAACTACGTTACCGCGTGCCCCCATGTGGAATACCAAATGCTTAAGTAATTTAGAAAACCACACTAATGTGCTAGCAGCGTACCTACTAGGCCAGGCATGTCGAAGGCGTCGATGGCGGGACGATTTTTGGTCATCTCATAAGCCTATAAACAAAGTATACGTGAAAAGCATGTAAATTCACTCGTAATATAATATGATTATATTCAGATTTTGAAGGGAAAATACGTATCAAGGTAGTCTGTACTTTCAATGTATTTTGTTTTTACAACAAACATCCTGTGTCGTGTCACTTTTACCAATATTTTTGCTTAAAGCGACGTATGACGATATGACGGGATTGTAGATCACTGCCAGTTTTTACGGTTATGACACTAAAAAGTCGATCACAGCCTGTTTGAAGTTGGACATGGCTGTACTAGACCATACAGAAACTACACACAGACTGAAAAGATACACCGTCCTAACTCTACGGGACAGACCTGAGTAAAACCACAATACAAGAATTAAAATAATACCTAAGTGAAAAGAAAAAAGTATATGAGATACGACACTAGGAATGAATCATTCACGAGATTCACGACCCAGTACTTATTAAACGTATACATTTATTGCGATTCTGCAGATTATGTAGATTGAATGTGTGAAAGGAAACCTATTTACTTACTTTGCTTGCGCTGCGACAACCAACTATTCTTTGAAAGAAGCTCTTGATCCTCATGATGGAAAATAAATGAAATCAGTTTTTTACACACGCGCTCTTCAACCTTTTTCTTCCCACTGTCTCAACAGTAGAACGGGCGATGTCTTCAAGGCAACTGCTCGCATCGGACGTACGCAGAAAACTGTGACTCTCCGCTCTCGCAGAGACGTATTTATAACGGTGTTACGTAACAGTAGCTGCGCCTGATAACCCCTTCTACTGTTGCAGACGTTGCAGAGACGTGGCAGTTACGTGGCAGTGATGTGGCGTAACAATAGTAGTGACGCTGGAAAACCCATCCTACTGTTACTTGCGTAACATAGCAACATAGCAAGCCACAATATCAGCACCAGTGCCCAGTTTGTAATTCTGTATTTAAGCATCCTGTTGCAGGCCAAATTAAAACGTCTATGTATAACACAGTCCGTCAGTAATGAAACAAATTGTTCCTTTATTTCCACTTACACTTTTAACCCAACTTGTTTCGGTCCTAGATGACCACCTCCGTGTGTCCTAATATATTTAAACTGGTACACTGCATTAATATGCACTAAAATCACACGCTGTAGTCCACTTAATAATATAAAATTGAATCTTAATAGAAGACAACACCACACGCTGCTAGAGGGAAGAAGGCACAAGCAAGAGGCATATTAGGGATTGCAGACTAATAGATTAAGGTGCTAACGAACATAAAGAAACAAGCTGCTGCAATAAAACAAGTGGTGATAACATATAGTTCCAAACAAGTGGACGACACCCCTTGGAAGTGGAATAGAATGTTACAAAAACAAACGGAAATATTTTAATAGAAAATTTTAAAGTATATATATATAAAGCGGGGGTTTTCATATGTCGATGTAGCAAAATGGGCGGAAGAAAGGGTATTAGAGCGGAGGTTGATGATTCGCCTGTCTTCCTCCATTGCTTTTCAAAATGAATTGCTGTAGGGTTACAACACCACAGTTAACTATCCCATAGAATGTAACTGTTTGGATGATATGGCTTGC